TTTTTGTTGGGAAGGATGGCCCTACTCATGGTACCTGGAATGAAGAAGTCGTATGTTGGTTTTTCAACATTCTTTCTTACGTGGCATTTCCTGTTTCAGTAATCAAGAGCCAGCTTTTCCTTCAAAAATGAGGTAAGCATCGTTGTGCTCTTTCATTCTGATAATCACATGTTCTTCTAGTCAAAACGCCACAAGCAGTGGACGAAAACACACGAAGCAATCATGCTGAAGCATATGGAACTTTGTGTTTCATTACGACGCCCACATATGGCCAAAGATGCACTTTTCCAGTATAAAACACTTACTCAACAGGTCGTTTATAAAATTTTCAGGACCCTTTTTATTGTTTTCTTTTAGTTTTCAGTGTGGTTTAAATGAAGTATGACTGTTTTAGAAGTACATGTTCTGGTCTCTCCGTTCTAAAATTTTCTTCCATTTATATATCATTACTGCTCAATCTGCTCAAGTATTTCCATCAAAGGCTACGAGAAAATGTGCAGAAGTTTCTTTCCTGTGTTAGGGATTTAAAAGAAGTCAGGTCTTGTTGAAAATTTTTCAGGTTGCCATTAAATCGCTTGAAACTGTTATACAGCGGTTTCTGGAGCTTGCGCAACAGAAAACGGAGGAAGCGCAGAAGACTTCTATTGAAAAGGTTGAAGAAATTGATGATCTGGATCAAGCCGATGCTCCCGAAAAGTATGTTTTCTTCAATATTTGGTATTAAATGCTTGGGTAGATTTGATTTATGATTGCATAGGAATTGTTTTAGTTTGTTATTGTCAGCTGTGTCTGGTGATGCTGCACAAGATCGAATGGATCGAACTGTGTTGAGTCCTTGGTTGCGTTTTCTATGGGATTCTTATCGAAACTGTCTTGATTTATTAAGAAATACTGCTGTGGTTTGTATTGGTTTGTTTATGTTTAGAGAATTACTTTCCACTGATCTTTTCACCAATCAGATATTGAACTTTGAAGTGCTATTGAACATTGCTATAATATGTAAGCAAAGTAGCTGAGTATACTGAACGAGCGGAAGTAAGGTAGGTTTTTTCAAACGGGGAATAAAAGAGAAAGGTAAATAATAGTTGAACAAATTTTGAGGTAGAGCAGCTGTATCATCGTATTGCTAGACAGTCATTTGAGTTCTGTGCGAAGTATCAGCGGCGAACGGAGTTCCGTAAACTGTGTGATAATCTTCGACTACATTTAACACAAATTCAGAAGCACCAGCATTTGGCTCATGTGTAAGTTTCTGCTGATACTGCTATATTCAAAATCACCATTATTTTTTCATGGAATATTTCGATCAACTGTACTTGCATCTGTGCAGTCCACATTTTTCATAATTTTCTCTTGTAACTTTAATTTTCTCTTACACCTTTTAAGGGGATGCATATAAATGGGAATGCGAATTTCATCACTGATGATGATAATATCATTTATTTTAGGGTGAAATTAACAAGTGCAGAATCTTTGACTTTAATGCAAGACACACGTTTAATACAACTGGATACAGCAATACAAATGGAATTATGGCAGGAAGCATACAGAAGTGCGGAAGATGTTCATGGTATGATGCAACTAAGCAAGGATAAAGATGAACGCATGGTTAAACCAGCAAGTTACGTCAATTACTATGATAAGGTCCTTTATTACTGTATTTAAAAACCTTCTAGCAAGGTCATCTAGTACTCATGGTACATACTAAATATTTCCATCCTATGAGCTTTTTGTTTCGAATCATTAAAGACATCTTTTATTCTATTGGAAAGTGATATGTTGTAGTTATTTCATTACATATGTTTTGTATCACATTTTTTTCCTGTTGGCAGTATTCAACCTGTGGGGAATATTTAACTCCCAACAGGGGGATCGCACGCATCCCATTTGCTACCGTCAAAAACCAAAGTCTGCATCAGTTAAAAAATTTCAAAATCTTTTCCATTGTGTCTTCAAGAAGTAGATTGATGGTCTATTGGTCTGTATTCTAACGGGCACTATGGTAACTGGGTTCGAAGTTAGTTGAGATATTATTAGATTTCGGTGCACGTTCTCGTTTCATCTCGTTGCTTCACAATGAGGCGATCCATCTAAGCGTGCAAAATAGTTTCATTTAGCGTGATTTAAAAAAGTGATATTCTTTCACTGTTTTCGCCGTTAAATGATACAGTTCCCTCAACTTTTTTTTTTTTACCAATTAAACAATTCATAACATAAGAATGTCTTGGTTTCATCGTTAATTGTTTTTCAGTCTCGCACTAGTATTTTGG